TAATTATAAGAAGGGAATGGTTGCTAGTTGCTAGTCTGGCAAGCTCACAGTACACTTGCAATGAGCACTCAAATCGCGTTAAATTAATGCTTCTAGCAATAGCTATGATATGAATAATCCATTCTTATTTAAATTCCATTCAATCATGATGTGTGCACGTATGAGTAATAAGCCTGTGAGACATATTAGCTGAGACCACACATTAAATAGTTGGCGACACATTAGTTAGCGGCTTAGTAAACAACAACCTTTAAACAACAAACAACAAAAACAGTCAAACACAGCCGAAAACAACAAGAACAACAACAGCAACTATTGGGAACATGAATATTTCATATGTAGACATGCGTAATTATGATTGGATCCTCAAAGACAAAGCCCATTATTGTGCGCTGACGATAATGATGACGATGATGCTGTCACAGGGCCCTCAAACAAAAGCAACGATATCAGCGGCAACGAGCGAGCGAACAACAAAAGACACTCAAATGGCGACCACACACACACTCTCACACACACACTCACACACACACACACTCACACGAACGCACGCACACACAGAACAAAGTGAAGGAGTGAGCTGCTGTGCCAGACAGCGAGACAATGGCTGCGGTGGATGGGTTGGGTTGGGATGGAGGGAGTGAGGTTTTTTGGGGCATGTGTGTGTGTGTGTGCTCGTTTGTTGTGTAAATTTATCGAATATGTAATCAAATTATTTATAAAATCCACACAGACAAACTAAAACGTGGAAAAAACGGGCAGAACAATTAATTTTAAAGCCGTTTGATGTCCAACATGCGAACACTTTCTCTAACCCAGAGCCTCAGAGATGGAGAGAGAAAGAAAGCAAGCAGACGAGTGTCCTTTTTGCTGTCGCCTTTTATTGTTTATTGTTTTTGTGTAAATTGCTTTTGATGTTCTCTGTGTTGTTATTACTGCTGTCTGTCTGTTTGATTTTCGACTTTGTGCCTGGGATTTGCTGCAAGTGCGCCATATAGACGAGTATGCGATTGTGTCTGGGGCAGGATAATCATTAATCAAGGCTTTTTACATTTGTATAAATATTTAATTAAGAGAGCTGTTTGTAACGTAGGTAGCCATCATGTTTGGGAGTCTGTAAAACCCAGGCGCCGCTGTATTATTAATTGATGACAATAAGGAGAGGCTAAAATAAATGAAATAAATGTTTTTGAAACCTTAACCTAATACATAAAGATTTGATTTGCTTTACGATTGTGAAAATATTTAAAAGACTCTTAAAATTTGTGATAGGGTAGATTGAATTATTGCAACTTTCACAACTCTATTATTCATGTTTCAAGACAAAATTTTCAGAACTTGTTTATTAATGTTTCAGGACAAAAACTGACTCATTAAAAAATATGTCTTTATGAAATAAAAATAATTAATTTTTAAATTTTTGGATAATTTTGAAAAACTCAGAAAATAGAACAAGAAATAAGAATTAAATCGAAAAATAAATAAGAGTTATTTCTTTCAAATACAGCAACAATTGCAATTGTCATAATATTTTATCCAAAATATTCGTGAAAGCCCTTTTGTCTACTAAGGCCTTGAAAACAACTGAGCCCTAGCCCTGAATTGACAGATCTGATCTTTTGGTTATATCGAAATCCATTGTCCCGATCCATTGCCTCAGGGAGAAGTTAAATAAAATGCGCTAAAAATATCTAACAAAAATAAACTTATTATTGTTATTCCTTTGAAAAATACAAAAATACAAACGTAGGTCTAATGTGATTCTGAATTTAGCTTTAATTAATTTATTAAGTGTTTTGAAATTTTGATTCACATAGCAGAACTGTTATGTCCAAATTCTGTGCATATTTCTAGAATCATTTGCAATTGCCTGTCCTGCCTCATTATTCACTTACTCTGCAGTCCGCCCTTTGATTAAATGATGAAATGAAATTTAAACCAACAATCAATCGATTCACTTCAAGGTGGCGTTGGTCGAACAACCCCGAAAAAGACTAGGAAGAGGGAGAGGGAATGGGAGAGAGGCTGCATAAAATTCACTTAAAATGCCAAACAAATATATATTATTGTTTAACAAATTTAAGGAGGACTGTCAGTGGCCGTCCCAGCCTTCCCAGAAAACATACAAAGCGGCACAGCCTGCTCTCTCATTCTGATTCGACCAACAACAATTTGTATTGTCATTAGCGATTATGTTAGGGCTTGGGTAATACGATATGTTGACAAAAGCGCGTTGTACGAGTATGTATGTAGACAGTCGAATCGAGCTGACAAACCTATAAAGCATTTTTCTCGGCGCTACTTCAAAATGTTTTTACTCCTTTGCAATAAAAACGTAATCAAAAACCCCAGCCTGGCGTGGCGTAGCGTTGCGTTGCGTGAATCTGCCGATCATGCTGATGGAAAGAAGAGAAAAAAAAGAGCAAAGCATCAAGGACCAAGGAGCAAGAATAGCATTTTCATGTGAAAAACGTGGCGCAGGCGTAACGAAAGTGAAATCGAGACGCAGCCAGACAGGCAGCTGTAATTCCCTTCAGCCTAGGGAACACCTTCTCATCAATGCTCTGTTGTTGTTGTTGTTGTTGCTGCTGCTGTTGTGGTTGTTGTGTTGTGTTGTGTTGTTAGAAGGCAGACCAACACACAAAAACTCAGTCAAAGTCAAAGGGGCACGCGACCACATAGAAAGGCGCTTTATTGTGGTTATGTGCCTCTGGATCTGGGTTCTGGGCTCGGGGTTCTGGGTTCTGGGCTCCGGATTCTGGCATTGTGACTGATCGCCCGTTTGTGTCTAGACAGGCCGCAGACATAAGTTTAATAGACTTATTGTAATTGAGTCACAAAAGCCACTCGACATCAGCAACTCTTTCACATCACACATCACAAGGCGGATGACAACGCATTTTGCAGCTGCAACTCTATCTCTCTCTGTCTAATCGAAAGGTGTTTATGGCATTTGAATTACTGGCAATTTTCAGCGCAATTTTACATGTTTGAGTATCTTTAAAATTTAATTAAAAATTTTACATTTTTCCCTTAAATCTCTAGTCCTTTTTGTGAGATTCATTTTACTATTCTGCCGTGTCATGCGTTTTTGTCAAATCGACTTGCCCACCTTTTTGTGGCCTTTGTCCCAAAAAGGAATGCTGCGTGCCCAAATGTTTGCTCATTTGGGCAACTCTCTAAATGTGTACGAGTATGTGTGCGAGTTTACTTGGGCAAGTTAACAAGTTAATTTTCCATATTTTCTTTGGCAAAACTTTGTAGAATTTGCAGTCATTGTGTAGTCCTTTTTGTGGCTTTGAGCTAAACTTGAAACCATTTCAGATAGGCCACGGTGATGGAGACTCAGGCTGATATGAAAATGAGGATACGTATCTGCCACAAATAATAGAAAGTCATGGCATAGTTTTTGCCCAGTGTGGGATGTACTTTTTCCGGCAAAGACATTTCTTAGCTTTATGTAAACGAAAGCGTTTTCTTTGCAAATTCTTAGCATTTTTGCAATTATTAAAAGGCTGCGAATAGAAAGCGCGCTCTAACTACGCTACGTTGCTGTTTCGGACTAACAGGAATCTGCCCATCACGATAGAAATTGTCAAAACACAAAACCAAACATGGCTTTTTTCAGATTTTGGAAAATATGCTTAGAGACCAATTTTTTGGTAAAAATAAATATTTAAATTGTGCTGCTTGATGATTAGATTTCAAAAATCGAATTATGTTACATCGGGAATGAAATAACCCAAATTAATGTAAATAAAACTAAATCAAACGTTTTTTCATAGTAATAATTAAAACCGAAATGGAATCACGTTTTTAAACATACTTATAAAAACGGAGAATAACGTTAAAGTCGTTATAATTTCTTTACCGATCATTTCTAATCAGATAAATGATATGGTTCAGCAATATTAATTTCAATAAATAGCTTAAAACATTATTCCTATTTAATAATTAACCTGATACTGTATTGAAATTTAATTTGTTCCTATATTTTTACAAAAAGGCGAAAGAAAAAGAATTTAACATAAAATAATTTTCTGTAATATAATTTTCGGTAAGAATATTAGTAACGAATTTTGAATAGAACAATATTTAAAGAGTTTGAATTTAATCACTGAATTGAAAGATTTAATCTGACAAACACAAATGACTAAATTTAGTTTAAAATTTAATTAGTTAATCTATCTTTTGCAAGAACAGCCAACAGAAATGATTAAAAATGTGAATTAAACCGCTATATTGACAAATGCATTTGGCTGTTAAACATAACTCTGTTTTTTAACTTTTCACGTTTAAAGTTTAATATTTAAACAGTTAATAAGCGGCTTAAGAACAATATTTCAAAAATTATTTGTATTTATTTATATTTGAAATTACACTCGGTTTTTGAAAGAAAATGTAATATTTAATTGAATTTGGAATTTTAAAAATAACTCTTTTTCAAATTCAGCATTATTAATGTTTCAAAAGTATTTTAAAAGAATATCATTTCTTTACTTTATTAATGCTTTAATATTTAACTGACCTCATATTACGTTTGTGAAATTAGTTATCTAATGAAAAGAAAAAACAATTTGTAGCTTAGCAACGATCTAATTTATTTTTACTTTAAAGTTTTATATTAAATTCTTTTGCCATACAAGTGTATGCATACATTAACTATCTTCCTTTATCTGAAGTTTGAAGTGGGTTTTGTTCTCCTATGAAGGTCCTCACCCATCCCAAAACGGTATGCCAGGCACTGTCAAGCGATTGTCAGGCTCAGAGGTTAAGCCTTTTGTGTTGGCTGAGCAAACGCTTTAACGCTGCGAATCTCAAATGTCAATAACACAACTGTGAATGCAGCAGGGTTGGATGGGGGGTGGATGGGGGGTGGTGAGCCAACACCTCCAACCACCCACCCAAGCAAATCTGGCAATTACAATAATTCAGCGCCGAATTACAGTAGAAGGAAAGGTCAGAGGCATTGCGCCAAGCTAGCAAACAGCAGAGAACCATTTAAAGACAAATTAATGTATATTTAAGCTGCCCCAAAGACTAATTGCCCACAGGCAGTGGGTAACAACTCCACACACACACACACACTCTGTCACACACTCACACACAGATACACGCACACAACTCAAATACAGAAAATCTCACGCCTTTGTTGATTAATTAATCAAAGTAAATAGTTCCACCGAGAACACACACACACACACGCATTCACAGTGGAAATTCAAAGGCGAGCAAACGTCATTAGCGTAATCTAAACGGCCTATTGATAAGCTTTTTCCACACCTAATAGCTACATTAATTTTCACAAAAGTACGAGCAGCGATACGAGTATGGCCAACAAACTGGCAACTGCAAGCTGGCTTTGAGCGACAGCGGCAACGCTTTTTCCTGGCTTGGTGGGCTTGGGAAATAGTTTATCCCAAACGGCATAACGCTTAGTATATGCCAGTTCGCCCAACTCAGTCTCGAAACCATTATAGAGCAGCTGACAACTGGTCGCATTGCAGGCTGGCCACGTTTTCCTCCTCAGAGTTGGTCGCCTATAAAAACAAATGATTAAATTGCTGATATCTCTATCGCGACTCGCTCTTAAGCTCACAACTCACCCATATTTGGCAAAGCACGCAAACCATTTGGTGAGACGTTCCATCATAAAGACATCGCTGCTATTCTTGTCCAATAACATTCCATACCAAGTACCGGGCATTACGTATTGCAAATCATCCGCATGGCCGACACCGTCGAACTCATTTTTGTCATTCTTTGGCGCTGAAAGACTGCGATGCCCCACATAGTCCATGCGGGAGTAATAGACGTTCGTGTGCTGACGGGCCAAATCGACCAAACGATGCACGCCATGGCCTATGATGCCATCCGAGAAAATCTGTCCAAACTTTTGTATATTTTGCTCATTGATCTCGTCCACGTCCTTGCCGAGATAGAAGCGCTTCAACACTTTGCTCTTGCGAGCATCATAGTTATATAGAAATAGTTCCGGGGCATAGTCATTGAAGTTCACATTGATGTCGTGCAGCAGATGATTGTTTTCCAGATGCTCTGAAAAGCAATGCATATACTATGTTGATAAATTGTTAATGATAATTAAAGCCTGTTTTCGTTTCCCTCTTGTGTTCAACTATTTGTAATTGATAATGCTAGCTGTTCCAGTTCGAAAAATGTTTAAAGCTTAGCGTTTTTGAGTGGAATCTAGTCTAGAATAATTCGCTATTTTTCTCATACTCAGATTTACCTTTCAATTCGAAATTGTTAAGTACATTGATGAAGATTGATAAACGTTTACATGTTTAAATGCATTGAAAGGACTTTCTAAAATGGTTGCCTTCGCCAGAGTGGAATCAAAAGTAGCTCGAAATTTTCTAAATATTAGATGTGTTTTCTCTGGACTCACAAATCAAGACAGCTATAATGGAATCGCAATGCAAGCGATTTTCAATCAAAAACAAAGACAAATCGGGAACGAAAACGAGACTGTATTGAACAGAGTTCTTACTTACTATTTACCGTATAGTCCAGTTCATTAGCCGCAAAGCTAACTAGCAATGGCACGCGATTGAAGGCGCCACTGGCAATTATATCGGTGGGGTATGTTGGCAGAAAGCGTCCATCGATCTCATAGTTCCACTTCATATTGATAAACTGATAGGGCTCCCAGGTGGAGCAGACCTCGACAATGCGCTTCCAACTAATATTACGCAAGCAGCCGACTACATCAGTGGGATCATACATGGGACAGCCCACCTCGCGGGCCAGTTTACGTGTCCAGAAGATATTATCGATATCGAAATGGTTCGTGGCCGAGCCACTCATAAGTATGGCGCGATGAAACAGTCCTTCGGACAGTGGCGAAGTTAAGTGTAGACTCACAGCCATAGAGCCGGCACTCATGCCGAGAATGGTCACCTTTTGGGAATCACCGCCGAAGGTTGAAATATGAGACTGCACCCATCCTAAGGCCATCTGTTGGTCTAGGAAGCCGTAGTTACCTTTAAAATCGGTGGCAGCGCCCGTGCTCAGAAAACCCAGAGCGCCCAAACGATAATTAAAGGCCACAAACACCACATCCTGATCGAGCAAGTACTGCGGCCCAGCCTCATAGATGCTGTGTCCGCTGCCCAATACATTGGCACCGCCATGAATGTACACGATTACTGGCAACAGAGTGTCGAAACTCTTGGTAAAGACATTTATCTTCAAGCAGTCCTCGCTCATGAAAATTGTGAGACCCGTCTGCGGACAAACCAACGAGTCCGAAGTAGCCTTCAGCACCACATCGTCACCCCAAGGCTGTACAGGTTCCGGTGGCATAAAACGTAGCTCCTCCACTGGTGGCTGAGCGTAGGGTATGCCTCGAAAGGCGTAAATGGTTTTATCCCGAAACGTCGTCATCGTACTGCCCTGGATACGACCCAAGCTGGTTCGCACGACGGGCGCTTCATCACGAAAGATTATCGCCCAACTGGACCCCAACGATAGCAACAGCAGGCTAATTACCAGACAGTCCATATTCTTCTTCTCTCTCTTTTTGGAAACTCTTTCAAAAACTGTTCCTGGTTTTAAAATACTTCTGTAATTTTCACCGCTTGCTGAAATTTTGCGTTTATTTTTAAAGCACCCGCATTATAGCGTCTGCTGCTTCTGTTCCGCCATCGAACTCTATACTGTCGAACACAAATGGTTATTCGCATTATGCCAAAAAAAAAAAATAGCCTAAGATAAGCAAAAATATTTCATATTTAAGTGCTACATACTATACTTGTATTTACTCGAAAATGTGATTAGATTCTAAAAACATGCCTTTGATAATACGCCGTGTTGGTCAACTTTTCTAAAGCATTTGTAGCACCATAATACAAATAGGTGTGTAAGCACTCAAAGAACATTATTTTGAGATATTTTCACATTTATAACTAAACTCTTATGGCACCATTTTAATATAGAATCTTATCTGAAACTTAAAAATCTAATCGTAAATTATTTCTACTGCAAACGCACTTATTATTCAATTGCTTTTGAATTATAAATTTGGATTTGGCATTAGCAGTCATTTCTTATTTTATTAGTTTATCAGCCTATATGTAATATGAGCCTCGAAAGTGTTTGAAAATCATTTTCCCACAGCAATTTTATGTCAGGTTTCTCCCATTTGTAGGTTGAATTTTCTAAAACCAATTCCTAGCGCTCACTTACGAGCGCAAGCCTAGTTGAGCTTGAGCATCTTCTGCGCTTCTCTTGATCTGAAATTACAAATTTTCTGCCAATTAGCATTATAATTATTAGGATTTAGTAACAAATTGAGGATTTCTTTCGAAATACGAGAAATTCCCAGTCAAGTTGATGTGTATTTTAATATTTTTCCAAGCTCTTCATCGCCGCCTTTAATTCGGCTCTGGTGCTAATAATGATTTCTCAAAAATAAAGAGGTCTAAAATAATTTATATGATCCAATTTTAAGTCTGGCGTTATATTCTTTAAGTGTCCTATGAAACGCACATTATTATAATTTCGATCGCAACTCGAATTTCCATTTGCCAGTTTTTAAAACTCCTGAATGGTTTTTAGACTCGACCTTGGACAGCTAACTTAATTTTCCCAACCCACCGTCGATTTCAATTGAAACTTATTGCTTCATTGAAATATTTTGCAGCCCTTCCTTCGACCTAGGCCACATCATCAGTATCAGCAGCGTCCATTGCACCACTTACTCGTAGTATCCTACGCCCGCAGAATTACTTTTTTTAGAGTTCCAAACTCGGCTTTTCTCATGCGGCAGGCACTGAGATTTAAATTGATTTCCTTATTAAGGCACATCCCTCTTGTAGTATTCAATTAAAAGTGCGCTCAGCATCAGCAGCAGCCGTCTATAACTGTTCATTGATTGATATAAGCCGAGTGTTAATTACTGAGGGGCTGACAATATCTGACGCTGCTGTCGCTGCTGCTGCTCTGCACTTTGATTTGTTGGACCCAAAAGTGAAAATTATAGCGGTGCAGTGTGAAAAGCTGGCAATGACCTTTGTCAAATGAATTGAATTAATTATACAGAATGGAATTGTAGGCGCGCTATACTCGCATGGTATTTGAAGGGAATTATAACGAACCGGATATTAGAGACTTTGATACTTAAGATGAGTTGTCAATAATCACATTATGGCAGGGTCTTGGTCAGTTTATTAATTGCCAGAGATTGGGCAATAAGAGAATCGGAAATAAATTGGTATTTTTCCAGGAAAATAGTAATACATATTATAATTTTACTGTGATTGTTGAGGAAAAAACACCTTTTTTAAAGTTCTTGTTATTTACTGCGAATTATGATTGTTACTGTTTATCAAATACCCGTACGTGTAACAATTACTTAGAATTGCTACAAGCTTGCAATGCCAAAAAAATTTCATTCTTTTCTAAAAATTCATCTGCATATGGGGGCTTGCGCTTACGACTTGTTTGCGTTAAAAATTGGAAATGTTTCTACAAAACATACAGAAGAAGAATGACGAGACCCAGAAGGTAACTCTTGTTAAACTAATCAATAACAAGAACTTTAAAAAACACCTTTAAATATTCCTCAACAATCACAGGAAAATTATAATATGTATTACTATTTTCCTGGAAAAATACCAATTTATTTCCGCCAATTTTTACGCGCACGTATCTCTCATTCTTGCTATAAGATGTATGCCTGTATGAACTTAGGATTTCAAAAATTATAATATCATGAACTAACAAACTTAGTATGCAGAAAGAGATTATGTTTATGTTTTTCTAAGTGCTGCCACCACTCCAAAATTTTCGTAATTTTTTTTAATTTCAATTTGTGCCGGTAATTGTTTCATGATTTTTTAGAACAGAACAGATTTTATGCAGATGAAATTATTACAGCTTTCAGATTGGATAAGGCTTATGAAAATTAAGATTCGAATTATTTATTAAAAGGTCAATTAATGAGATTGTTGTTAAAAACGAAATAAGTTTAAAATCGAAATAATAATGGAAATAATTGTTCAGCCTAAGGCAGAGCTCAAATAAAGATTAAAGATTTACAAAAAAAAAAAATATCTATAATATAATGTTTTGTTTCTGAAAAGTAGGTTTTATACAGAAGCCAATTGGTTAAGGTTCTTCCCCTCTATATGCATTATATCCGAATGTTTTCAGTTAAATATTAATACGAAAGACATACTCCATCATATATGCTACAAAATTCCATTCATCCGATTATTAAATTATCAAGAAATTGTTACAAACTTTCCAAATTATCATTTTTTAATCGTTGGTGGTTGACGTCAAACCGCCTTTTTATTCTAGATAGCTTTAGCTTGAATCTAATCCAACTCACTATGTAATCGTTCAATGTCTTCATATGAACTCAGGCTGTTTGCTGTGGTTTGCTTACAAATTAAAACCGCCGAGCATATTTTCACACATCGCCGAGTAGCAGCATTTTAATAAAAACCGAAAACTGAAATAATCTGGCGACCCCCCTTTGTAGCTCCGATTCTCAGCAGAAAATTGCGACAATCTGCTGCTGTGCGCCGAGAGCTTAGCGTAATATTTCAGGCACTTGAGTGTGCAAATGCACACCGCACCACCGCAGGACACTATGGCTGTGGCAGTAGCAACCACCGCTGCACCACCGCGGCTGTCGCTGCTCGATCGCTGGCTACGACCCTTCAGTTGTTGCAAATAGATGAGTGGCCTCTTGACAGACATCTCCGACGTTGCAAGTTCAAACTGTGCCACTTGAAACGTTGCTTCTCCGCACTCTGTTTGTTGCCGCTTCCTGTGGCTTGATGACGTCTTCTGCACAATATTCTCACGCCAACCAGGGCTGGTACTCCCACTAACAACAATTAGACGAACAAACTCTCCAATGACCTTTTCTCTCGGACCATCACGCCCTCATTGCTTCGATGCAAAGATCAATTACATTTTGCCAATTTTCTGCAGCTGCCCTTCAAAACTCAAAACTAGTCAAAGCTAAATAGAGCTGGGCGCGTGTCGAAAAATGCCCCCACGATCATGCACGATTACGATCAACTTTTCTATATCTTTAATCGTGGTATTTTCTTTCATCATTTATCTTTCTTGAATAAGTTTTGTTTTACAAAGACAAATAGTCGGTTCATAATATTTTAAAGCTACTTCTGAGTGAATGGAACAGAAAAGTTCGTAAAGATTAAAATTAGAGCAAATCTCACGAATCTTTTCAACCTCTGGCACGATCACGCACAACACTAATGCAAATTTACGTTATTTTTAATAATTTGGCGCACATTTAAATGCCATTTAGAGGAGGAAACGTAAAGGAAACAGTCACAGTTTTTGAAGTGACCACCATGGCAAGGAAACCACACGTTCTGCCGACAACACAATGAACGCATTGAGAGAGAAAAACCGAGCAACAATTGCCGAATACGATAAAACCCACTTCAGTAATCAATCAAAGCGATACGCAACCGAGTCCCAAGAATTCTCGAGCTCGTCTTGTAATGAATATTTAAAGATGAAAATTATCGCAATGTACGAGTACATGCCATCGGGGTTAGGGGCAGCATCAGCATTTTGCATAAATGATAGCGAAACAATAGACCAATATCCTAATGCACTTAGGGGTGGGGCACATACATACATACATATGTATGTATATACTCGTAGTATATTTTAATACTTTGCATACGAGTATATGCGATAATTTGAACACAAAAGTGCTCAGCTCGGCATATTGCGTCTAATCTATACATGAATATTTTCGTGTAATCAATCCATAAGGAAAAAGAAGAAAAAAAAACCCGGAGTGGCATGAGTTTGAGGCGGGAATGGGAATGAATGGCCAACTCTGCTTCCTTCATTCCTTTGAAGATCGACGTCTCTGCACTCTAAACTCTACACTCAAGTGAGCAAACGCATTGTGCAGAATGTGAAACAAATAACAATAGTGTGGCAAGAACTTTTGAAGCATTTGTTGTAGGGGTTGAAAGGCCACTAGGGGCATTGTGATATTGTAATGAGCGTGACGTCTTATTTGTATTTGTATCGAGACCGCGACCGACACCGACCCCGACACTGAGACCGAGACCAAGACAAGGACAAAAGCAACTCACAACTTGGGTTATTTCTTCCTCATTCTAAGACAAGGGTAAGTAAATATTTCACACCATTGTGCACACATTGTTGTTTAAATAGTGCTTAATTCCTACTTATCAGCTCTGATATAGCGCCAATCAAAAGCTTCAGTTGAAAATTGACAAAAGTAACATACTTTGACATTCGAAATGATTATTTGTTTATAACTCCCACGGGATCCAGCGTTATAAAAGCGTATGCATTCCTTTTATTCCATTTATCACACTTGTCAAATATATCACAAAAGCTTTAAGGCGCCCAACTCTTGAAGTATTTTTTATATACAAGTATTTTTCTGACCTTTGAAGTCTTTCGCACTTCTTTAATATTTCAGTGAGTTTTACAAACTAATCGATT